GGTTTTTTGAGACAAGTTCTCACAGTGTAATTCAGGTTGGCCTCAAACTTGCTGCAATCCTCCTCCCTCAGTCTGATGAGTCCTGTTTGTTTATTTAAGTGTACCAGAATGGCAGATAGATACTGAATGAATAAAAGAGTGAGTGAGTGAGTGAGTGAGTGAGTGGAAGACTGCATTCCGAAACTGACCAGGTTGCTTAGGCCTGCTTATAACTAGAATCAAACTGCTTAAACTCAGTAATTGTCTTTTGGTTACTATCTGGAATACACTGACCCTCACAATGAAGAATAAGACTTGGTCTAACAACCTTAAAACTACGTAGATAACAAAGGAAAGCTAGTTCAACATCTCCTTTATATACAGAGAAAAAGAGGCCAAGTGAACTGAAGAACTTCCACTAAGGGCTTCAGGATGTTTAGGAACAGAGCCGAAGTAGAACCTACAAAGTTGGAGTCCAAGCCAGAGGTTTCTGCCATGTCACCAGCGGTCTCTTTGCATGGAGAGTCCTTCGTGTACTGCCTTGAGAGGACAGCGTGTCCTTCCCAATGGACCCTTTACAGATATTCAAAGCAATAAATGAAAAGTTACGGATGAAAATTGAATTTGTTTTCCCAGGTATTGTTGAAACAACTCACAAAGTCTCTGGTTACTCGTAGTGCTCAGCCATCACTTATGAAACATGTTTCGAAAAATCAATTATTCTAGGATATTGCTTACTTTTTCTCAAATAATTTTGCGCACAAAAGACATTTAAGAAGCAATAGAGACAGCTTCTTATCTGCGAATGGGCAGTCAAGGACAACTGCTATAAGCAAAAGTCTCATTTCAACCAGAATGTCGATTTCCAATAAATCTATTCAAAAGAATAAAGCAGCTTTTTCTTCCTCTTTGGTAAAATACACTTGCAGTTCACAAATTATTTTGTTGATAGAAATGTTAGCAAGCAATGACAGCCATGCAACCCAGAGTCACTGAAATGTAGCATGAGATGTACCAATCACAAAGCAAGTAAACCTTCACTTTGGTGGACAGATTTAGATCCACATGGTCTGCACAACACTCTGATAGAGACACTGCTGGTGGCTTGGAAAGAATAAGGGCTGGGAAAGCAGAAAGATCTATTTTAATCTATCTTTATCATGCATGAACCTGTGACCCTAGGCAAGAGATTTAATTCCTCTAGTCCTGTTCACCCATGCAAGAAATATTGGATGAGCGTCTGTTTGGTGCAGGCTATCTTCTAGATATTAGGTGAATAATTATGAGAAAAGTACAATCAAGATCACATTTTCATAAAAGAAGACAACACACACATGATAGCAAATGTCTGTTAGTATTATGGAGAAAAATACTGCTGAGAAGAAAGAGTTCTGAGTAGAGAAAAATTTGTTAAAAGATATCAGGGAATGTATTACTGAGAAAATGACATTGAAAAGAAGACTGAAATGATTCCAGAACGTACATGGAGCTGGAGTGCCCCAGGAACAGAAAAATGAAAGTTCAAAGGTCCTGAGGTGTTTTTCATGGTGTGCTCAAAGAGCTCTGTGTCTCAAGCACTAGGGTATGGGGCATGTAATAGTAAATGAACTTAAAGAGGTAGAAAACTAGGGAAAACATAGAGGGGAGGCCTTGTAGAGTCTTGTAAGCTATTATAAGGATATCAGTCTTTTTATTTTTTTAACTTAAACTTTTAAATGACTATTTTGTTGTAAATTGGCAATTTACAATTGCATGTATTTTATACAGTAAACCGTAAATTTGTCAACCAGCTGAATGTCAAGTTGAGGGAAAAATAGCTTGAAAATAACATCAAAGTTTTGACTTCAGTGGTTATAACAGTGGATTTCTCATGTCTGAAGGTGGAGAAAAGTGTGGAATCAACAAATTAGTTGAGAGTATCAGAAAATCATCTTTGAATACCTCACATTTGAGAAGTCTATTAAATAGACAGGTGAAGACATAAATTAATCTATTTGATCTATTTTGTAGAGAAAGATCTAGTTTGTATATTTTACCCTACCTGTGAATGCTTGTTACATGTATGAAAGAGAAGGCGTCACAGGCAACAGCAGTTGCCTGAGGACCAAGATCTTGGGTTCTCAATGTCCAGAGGTGGATAATACAAAAATCTGAAGCTCATGGAGTGAGTGCTTAGATATGCAAGCTCCTATTCTAAGTTTTAACTTTTTCAACAACCTCATAAGCTTGCCTTATGTTAGAGATGAGAAAATTAGGAAAAAGAGATGAAGTGATTGTTGCCAAGGTTATATATACCTCCTGAGTTGCACAGTCAGGTATCTTCATTACTTTCCTTACTGCTGAGACAGAATTCCTAACACCTGCAACTTAAAGGATGAAAGATTTGTTTTGGCTCATGGTTTCAGTCCATGGCCTGCTGGCCCCCAGGCAGAAACAGCATAGCAGAGGAAAAGTGCTCAATTGATACAGCCAGGAAACAGAGAGAGAAGGGAGAGGATGGGGACTAGAAAACACTCTTTCAGGTCAAATCCCCAGTCACATACCTCCAACCAGGCCCCACATTCTCACAGCATATTCAGTTACTGAACTCATGAATGCATGAATCCGTGGGTGAGTATAGCACCCCCTTGACCCAATCACTCCCACACACAGCATCAGCATTTGGGCAGCATTTTAGATCTGAACTATAACATCAGGGCACCATCTTGGGCTTCTGATTTCCAAGATTGGGCTTTGAACCTCTTTTATCACTGCTGTTCAGTGACTAGAAGAGAGATGATACCCACAAGAAAGACTGAATAGGACATCCATGTAGGCAGAAGGAAAAAAGGGCATTGTGGGGACCTGGGACCAAACTAAAGAAAGCATCTCAAGGAGAAAGGAAGCGAGCAATTGTGACAAGTGCTGGTAGTCAAGAAAGATGAAAATTGAAAATAGCAATATGAAGAACATCAGTGACTTTGACAAGAGCAGCTAGGCTGAGAGTTGGGATCAAAAACTGGATTGGAATGAGTCTGAGAGAGAGGAATAATTTAGACAATACATTCTGACAACTTCATAGAGGATTTTTGATACATAGGGTAACATAAATGGGCAGTAGCTGGGGGTAGAGATGGAATTAGGACATTTCTTTTAAATATCGTAGAACAAAGAACACAAAGCTAGTGAGAATGACCCAACAGAGAAGGAAAAATGGACAGTGAAGGAAGCATAAAGAAATAGTGCAGTTTTATCCCTGGGAATATGCAATGCACCCATAGGAAGAGGAGGGAAGCAGCACAGGAGGCACAGATGCTAGTAGCTGTGTGAATGTGGTTGAGGAATTTTGTGAATATTCTCTTCTGATTGTTGAAGTTCCAATGCCTCTGCTTCCTCATTTGTAAAATGTAAATCACCATATCTCTTCCTAAAGTTGATGTGAGCTTTGAATGCAACAAACTATACAAATTGCTAGCGTGATGTCTGGTACAATCTATAAGGGCAAATGATAACAATTCCCACATCCTCTCCTTATTGGTTATCACTATTATCATTCATTACTAACGTTCATTGAACCCTTACAATACAGCAGACCTTGTGTTCAGTACTTGGCATACATTCCTTAGGAAAGAGTATTCCTAGTGCCTGAGATCTTAGTGAGGATTTTTAAACTGTTAGCAGGAAACAGGGTGGAATTGGATTAGCTAATCCCATGTTTCACCATCCCATCTTAAATTCCTGTCATACATATAATATCCCATTGTATCAGTCCATGGGAGGAGATTTTGTCAGCACCTTCTCTGGCCCAGGTTTTTTTAACACTTATTCATTTACTCTGAGTCTGGACACAGCAGTTCAACTGCCATCCAACATGAAACATGCTCTATGGAGTAAGATGAGACCTAGCAGACTGAGCTAAGCCATTTCGCAGTGTTTGGTCTCCTGCATGCTGGTTCTATTGGAAATTCCCTCAGCAAGGTGGAGGCTCTCTAAACAGGAACTATATTTGTCCAGTGACTGAGATATAGCATAAACTTGCTTCTTCTACTTTGGGGGCAAGGCTAAGCAAGAGGGGAATCAGCAAAACTCAGCACCTACCCATCAGTGTTTTTAATTGGAAATGGGTCGTTTAGAGTGAGATTGTACCACAAGAGTCTAGTCAAGCATTCACATTCTGGATTTTTTTATCACTCGGGCACATTCTCTTTTACTTTTTGAAGTGGATACAGGCTTCTATACTGAGATCCCCTTGTCAAAATCTGTCACTCCTGAGAAACCTCAGCCTGTGTAAACAAAGAGCTTCAGGCAAGGTAGATTTTCCCCATTCTCATACAGCTGCATACAACCAAGTAGCAGGTGTCAGTATCTTCTTTTTGTAAAGAGGTTTTGATCCTTTTGGGACTCTATTTCCCATACTTGAAAATAGGCATCCCAGAATACTAATATGTCTGAGATCTAGCAATTCTGGCTTCTCTAAATATACAAAGTACTATAATGTTTCCTTCAAGGAAGCAATTGATTACAGAAGCCAGTGAAATGACCCCGAGATCTGATAATCAATTCCAGGTCTCCAAAAGAGGCTATCATTGTCCCTGATGTACAGGTAAAGAAAGAGTCTAAGAGAAGATAAAGACTTTACCAAAACCACACAGCCCATAAAGTGGTGGAGTTCACACTTGAATCCTAGTCTACTTAAATCTATGTAAGTCCATTTTGCCCTAAAAGCCTTTAACTTTAATCACCAAATGATAGTACTTCTTTATTGATTCCCATAATGTAGAACATGTCTGAGGGTGGTGATGCCCATCTGGCTATACCTAGAGTCATTCTGGAAGCTACAAGTTCATAAATAATGTCTGACACACTTGGTTAGGGTCCCGGGGCCAATGGGAGACAGATGATCTATGGCTTTGCGTGGTATCACTGTAAGCTAACATGTTACTTCATAGTCTTGGGTTGCCGTCCCCTGGAGTGTTCTGATGTGATCAGTTGTCAGTTTCAGGTCTGTTGTTTCTCTCACCAGAAACCCAGCCAGTGGAAGATGACAGCCCCAAAGCCCTGCCTGTGTTAGGGGAGCAATCGAACTCGGATAATGACATAAACGAGTCGCTGTTCATCTGGGGAATCTCAGACAAAGCAGCCCAGAGGAAAACCATCTCTGCCGATGAAAGCTTGTTTCACTTGCAACAGGAGAAGCAGCAGCCGCGACCAGAGCCCGTGCACAAGCTGGGGAGAGGTAGAGGGAGGCTGAGGCTGCCGCCTGTGAGTAGCATTTGATGATTTCTCTGCAGCGTGGGGATGAGATGCTGGGGAGGGGGCTTGGCTGTGAGGTGGCATGCATGTGTAGGTTGGGGATTTTCCTGTGGCTGGGGTTGGCGGCGGTAGTTTACACAATTAACAAATGCATTAGGGATCTGCCCCTCTCTTCCAAAGGAGGGCAGGGAATGTGTCCAGACGCACTTGCATTTTCTCTGCTTGCCTATCATGAAACATGCAAACAGCAGGTGGGGAATAACAGTTCGTGTTTGTTTTTGTTTTTCTCCTTCGTCCTTGAGAGTGGGCTGCAGGGCAGTAAGACATCTCAGCCCCAAAAAGGTTTTGCAAGACAGTTGAAGGACTCCCATGAGGGATTCTTTCCCAAGTTTCTTTTGCAGATGTGTGGATCTTTATTGCTTTGCTACCCTGCTGCTTCTTCCTGAGGGGCACTTGCATCCCAGTGGCTGCAAAAGGGTCCGGGTGACACTTGTGTCTCTGGCTGTCAGCTCCAGCTCTCTGTAGTAAACAGCGTCAAATCCAACAGGATTTAACCTCTTGCTTGTCACAGTTGAAAGAGTTCAGTGAGCCCAGGCAATGGAAAATGTGGGCTGCATTTATCCATCCTCTTAGCCCAGGGCAAACACACAGGTTTTGAACTTGCAGGAAAGTTTTGTTTTGTGTTGTGTTGTTTTAGATCAAGCTGGGGCAGGGCTGGGGGCGGGGGGTGCTTGCTATCTCCAAACAGTGAGTATATTGAACTTTTGAAAGGACAGAAAGAGAAACGTTTTGTTTGAAAGCACTTGTGTCACCAGCTATGGTTTTTCTTAGCTTAGTGAGCTGCTTTGTATCTGTGGATGTTGGTGGTTATTGGTACTAAATAATGTGCTGGACAGAAACGTGCCTGGTCATAAACTATAAACTTGTTTGTATGCTGGTTGTAAGAAGACACCACACACACACACACACACACACACACACACTTCTTTCATTGTAGATTGTGATATCGCTGAGTATATGTCTTGCCCAGGCATCTGCAGTAAAAGTAAACAGGATCATCTTCTCCAGGAGGAAGAACCATGGGGAGAAAGGTGGGACTAAGGGACAGGCACGCTGTGTGTCCTCAAATTGGCTCTGAGCAGCAGTGCATGCCGAAGGGTGGAAGAGGCTGAGGCACTCTGCCTTAGGATGTGGCTCAGAGAGCAGGCAGCTGGATGGTTGGGTAGGCACTACATGGTGTTATCCCGGCAGGTCAGGGCCCTGGCTCCCAAGCTGCTGAGGGACATGTAAATTAAATATGAAGGAACCAGGGCAGAGCAGGTGGGGAAGAGGAATGAGTCCTCTGACTTCTAGGAGGAGTTCTTTCAAGGAGGCAGTTCTTTCCTGTCTCCATCACAGCATCTTGACCCATCTGTGGCATAGATGTGTGCCTTTGCAGACAAGTGAGATCTAACCTAAGCACCCTCAGGAAAGCGAAAGAACAGGGCTGAGAGGAATAATATGATGTCTGTGCTTTGTTCGGACTTATTTGTGCCACTACCAGTGCCAATGCATTGCAGAAACATTACAAAGTATCTATTTACAGATCTTACAATCCAACCCTCTTAGCACCTCTGAGTTTTCTCTGTGCTCTTTCCCAGCTTTGCCCATGGATGCTTTTGTGGGGTAACCGTAATCATGACGTACTCACTTGCTCTGTCTTTCCCTCAGTGTCATTCCACACTACCCTCTCATATTCCAGTACCACTTTCATATAGATCATTTAATCATGACTGAATTAAACAGGCCAATCCCCTCAGTGGCTCCACCATAATCAATTTAGCAATCGTTGGATATTTAAGTTGCTTCCAGTTTGTTCATAATCACAATGCTGCTATGAATATTTCTTGGTATTGTGAGTTTTTACGCCCCTTTTAAAAATTGGGAGAAATCAAATCACATTGTTGATATTCTTGAGCTGAAAGACTTTTATGTTTTGGCTTTTTATACCTTTATATATGTACCAATCTATTCTTTGAAATATATTTGTGCCATCTAAATGATCTGCAATACGGTCTAGAAAGCACCAATTTCTCTAGAGCCTTATATACATTACATTCTTTTTTAAAAAATTTTTGTTGTGGTTTTTTTCTTCCCAAATTAGGAGTTATACAAAGGTGCTGGTCACTTTTGTAAAGTTGGTGTTTGGGTCCTAAAGAGTCAGGTTGCATCATCCTTCGTAAGATAAAGAAGCAGCCTCTCAGGTTCTCTCACCAAGAGGGCAAGGAAGCCCCACTCTGTTAGGAGTAAAAGGGTGAAGGACAGATGGAGCGCCTCCATTCTGTGTCCTAACTCCTGAGACAGAAGCAGGGTCACAGGTAAGGAGACCAGCCTGAAATTACTTTTGAGCTCTAAAGCCTGTTTGGGCTTTCCTGTCTTCCTCCCCAAACCTGAAGAGCCAGGATAGGAGCTAACTCACTTCTTGGGCAGGTTGTGAGACTGATGTCTAGCACAATAGAACTGTAGTCTTTAGGAAAGTGAGGACTAGCTAAGCATAGGAAGCAAATACAGAGAAACAAACAGAAAACAGGGTTATGTCTCATAGTCTGTACTTTTCTACGTAGTTTTTCCAAGGGCAAGACAGGGTAGGATGGTCTGAATACTCGCACTGAGCAAAGGAGAGCCATACAGTATTTCTTTTTTGGTGCCTAACTTCCGTAAAGACAACGTTGCCAAATAATTATTTTTTTCTTTTCTTTCTTCCTCCCTTGTATCTCATCAATTTGGAGATGAATCTGAGCTTTCCTGACCTCCCATGCAGCTCACTGTAAACTGCTTCAGTTCTAATCTCTTTTGTTCATTCAATAATTATTTGTGCAAAGGCCAAGAATGCCCAGCAGGGAGTCAGGCTCCAGCTCAGCCAGCATTCACCCACCGTGACCTATGCTAGTGGGATATAGCCGTGTCCTGGGAACAAGATTTCCTTACCACAGATAAGCAGATCAATTTTTTTAAAGGATCTTTATTGACTTTTTCAGTCTGTGAGAGCTTATTAGAAGCAGAACTCTTTCACCAACGGTGGGGTTGGGGTTCTAGAAGCAGACACAGATCTAGTGTGAGGTCTACCTGCTCTTTCACAAGACTGACACACCAGGAAAAAGTGGCCGCCACTTGCCAGACTGAAGAAAGACTTTTAACTTGTGGCCCAAGTATCTACACAAGGCACTAGGAAAAACTTCCCATATGCCAGCTCTCCTCAATCCTTATTTTCTTACTGGCAGAAGCTCTCCTGAAATAGCATGCCCAGTGTGGTTTCTGCTTTCTTTACTGTTGCATTCCTATCTTTTACCCCGTAATATCTGCTCCCACTTAGCTAGGGCCTGCTGTGTGCTGGGCCATGTTTTATCTTCTTTATTTCATTTAATCATCACAACAACCCCATGTGGTTTTGAACTATCACTGTTCTCCTTTTATGGATTTTTGAATTGAACAATGAAGAGGTTATGCTGGAGAGGAGACAAGGGTCTTGTTTTGGAATCAGGAAGTAAGAAGGAGGTGGCACTGAGAAAAACAGAAGCACAGTTTAAATTCAAGCAGTCTAGCATGCTCTAGAATCTGCGTTTGGCCACAGACACATTTAATATGAGCTGGAAGTCTAATAATATGGAAGTCTGAAAGGATGTGGAGGCACTGGCATGTAGCTGAAGCGTATTCCTCATAGAAGTGGTAGCAGTCCTGGCCGTATCTGTTACAACAGCAACTCACAACAGTCCCCACCATGAACCTGACACCTTGTTCAGAAGCTTCAAGTGAGCACATTGCTCTCATCCTCAGCAGCTTTCTGAGGCAGCCACTGTCCTGATCTCGGTTTTACTAATGCAGTATCTCAGGCTTTGCTATGCTATGCAGCTCGTCCCGAGTGACAGAGCTAGTGAGTCTCTTGAAGTCTGTTGCACCTGACTGCACCTCACTGATGTACCAGTAGGTTAGCACTGCAACAAGACCTGCAGCAGTCACGACAATGGATATGCCTGCGACCACCGAGCTCAGCTCAGTGGTCTCTTCTGATCGCTTTTGCCTTGAGATTCTTGAGTTTTGAGATCATTTTGCCATAAAGTGGTACACAAAAATCTTAGGTCTCAGCCCATTCCTGTTACTCCCCCAAAAGCAAGTTCCTAAAGGAAAAAGATACCATAAGGCAAATCACTGGTGTACATCTAAGGAAAAGAATGCTCGCAGCTGGGCACTTGCCTCTCCCCAGTGCTCTGGACTGTGCTTTCCAATATGGAGACCAGTGAACTCATTTGATTCACGAGCACTTAAATTGTGGCAGCTGAAATGGTGGTGTTTCCAAAATGTGCCGTGCACACTAAACTTCAAAGGTCAGTAAGAAAACATGAATATCTTAGTAGGTCTGCATTGATTACGTATTGAAACAATAATATGTTGTATATGACAAGCTAAGTAAGATATATTATTAAAATAAATCTCAGTTGTATATTTTTAATCTTTAAAATAACTGGTAAAACATAACATGCAATGTAACATCTTAAGTATTTTTAGGCATAGAGTTCAGCAGTGCTAAGCACATCTACACCTCCATGCCAACAATTTCCAAAGCTTTAACTTGCAAAAATGAAGCTTTTCATTAAACAACAAGTTCTTTTCTCCCTCACCTCTACATCCCCTGGAAAGTACCATTCACAGCTCTTTCACTATAAATTTAAATTTCCTAGTTATATATGAGTGAACTCATAGGTTTTTTTTTAACAGTCTTATTTCATTTAGCATCATAACATCAAGGTTTATCCATATTGTAACATGTATCTGGATTTCCTTCCTTTTATCAGTGGAATATTTCCTTCATACATACAGATACATTTTGTTTACTTTATTCCTCTATCCATGAACACCTGAGATGATTCCACTTCCTTTGTCTTTTTGTATAATGTGGTTCCTGCAATATTTAAAGCTGTATATGTCATGACTTGAATTTCTGGTTCACATTATATCTTCATGGACACTGTTGT